AGCCAGGCTCTCCACTGCGTGCTCTTTCTCCCTACACTAAGCAGACAGACTCGCTTACAGAGCGTCGTGAGCCTGCGTCTCGTCCTGCCTCGCCTGTTCACGCTGGTCGCACGCATGCTATGGCACTTCGTCCTTCCTTTGTTCCACAGCGTGTTCCCCTACTGTCTCCTCCTGTGTCCTCTCTTCCACACGTTCCAGACCCTGAGTCTGAAATAGTTCGTGCTGTCAATCCTACTATTACGCGTCTCTTAGCCACTGCTGTCACTGACCCTTCGTTTGAGTCTGCTGCTGCGTCTGCCTTAGTCTCTAAGCTTGTTGACTTTTTTGCTGCTTATCGTATCGACTACGACACTAGTCTTGTTGCTGAGTTTGAGTCTGTCTGTCCTCCATCCGTCGGGGGTGAGTGTGCTCTTGGCACAGACATCCTTGAGGACAGGCAGGAGGACTTTGAGAGTCTTGCAGCCGCTGTGCCTCATCTTGTGGCCATCCTGCTTACCCCTGAGGGAGACCCGGATGCACTTGACATCCCGACCCCGCGCTCTTACGCAGAGGCGATTTCGGGTCCCTACTCCTCTCAGTGGCAGACAGCCATGGACGCAGAGATGGCATCCTGGAAGTCCACAGGCACTTTCATCAATGAGGTTTCCCCCTCTTGGGGCGAACATCGTCGATGGCATGCGGATTTTCAGGGTGAAGCGACCGCCGGGTTCTCCACTTGTGTTCAAGGCTCGTTATGTTGCACGAGGCTTCAGTCAGCGATAGGGAGTTGACTTCTTCCAGACCTTCTTCCCTATCCCAAAGATGACCACTCTTTGGGTGCTGCTGCACATTGCCGCTCAGCGTGACTACGAGCTTCACTCTCTTCACTTCAGCACAGCCTTCTTACAGAGCAGCCTGCACGAGGAGATCTGGCAGCGCCGCCCACCTGGCTTCGCTGGGTTGTTCCCTCCTGGTACCCAGTGGAGCCTCCGGCGGCTGGTATACAGTCTTCGCAAGGCACCTCGTGAGTGGCACGACACACTGAGGACGACACTTGCGGCTCTTGGGTTCGCTCCTTCGACAGCTGACCCGTCGCTGTTTCAGCGCACCGACATTTTGCTGCCACCATTCTACATCCTCGTGTACGTTGACGACTTGGTCTTTGCTACTGTTGACACTAAGGCGCTCGCCCTTGTGAAGTCGGAGCTGCAGAAGAGACACACGTGCACAGACCTGGGAGAGCTGCGCAGCAACTCTGGCTTGCAGATCACCCGGGACAGAGCATGGCGCACCATCACCCTGACTCAGTCACACATGGTGCAGCAGGTCCTTCAGCGCTTCGGCTTCACTTGGTCCTCGCCACAGTCCACTCTGATGGCTACCGGTCACTCGCTCTCAGCTCCACCTTCCAACGAGTCTGTAGAGCCGAGTGGCCGTATCCAGAGCTTGTGGGCTGCCTCATGTACCTGACGACCTGCACTCGATCTGACCTTGCCTACCCTCTTAGCATCCTGGCTCACTACGTTGCGCTTGGGAGAGACCGGCGAGAGCACTGGGAGGCTGCTAAGAGGGTGTTGCGCTACTTGTGCAGTATATCGGGCATGGGGCTTGTGCTTGGAGGACGGGGAGAGGTTGTCCTCACTGGACACTCAGACGCGTCTTGGGTTGACGACCTGGCTACGCAGCGGTCGTCACAGGGTTACACTTTTAGCCTTGGTTGCGGCTCTGTTTCTTGGCGGTCTACCCGCTCGTCTTTTGTTCTCAGCTCCAGTTGTGAGGCTGAGATCTACGCCACAGCCATGGCTGCACAGGAGTTACGCTGGCTCACTTACCTGCTGACTAACTTGGGAGAGCGGCCTCGTTCCCCTCCAGTTTTGTACGTAGACAACAAGGCTGCCATTGCCTTGTGTCAGGAGCACATACTGGAGCACAGAACAAAGCAGCGTGGTCAGCTTCGTCATAATCACGTGGCCACTCGGGCCAACACTGCTGATATATTCACCAAGGCACTTCCGTCTGGTGATCATCAGCGCCTGTGTACTATGTTAGGCCTTGTGCCTATTTTGTCTCACTTGCTCACTTCGTGACTTTGCTTGTACTGTGATCTATATATGTACCTGCATGCTTGCTGTTGCTAGGTAGTGATCAATGTACTGTTGCTGTTACATATATACCTCTCCATGTGAACTAGCCTTGTAGCCCTTTCCTTGTGCTCAGAGTGTGTGGTGACGTTGTGATCCACCCTGAGCTTGCTTTGCTTTTCTTGACTGGTCTTGTGACCGCTTGTTCTCCCCCGCTTTGCCTATGGGGGTGTGTCAAACTATATATGTTCTGTTATAATATGTAGGCTGTAGTGGGGTAGCCAATATGGGGTACAACCCCTTAAGGGTTTCCATTTGTACTCAACTTTCTTATAGTTCACTCATTTATTGCTTCTAATATTAACAAATGCTAGTGGTAATAGTAATAGTAATAGTAATGGTGGTGGTAATGTAATGGGAAAGGTAATGATAAGAGTAATGGTATTGGTAATGGTAATGATAATGGTAATGGTAACGGTACTGAAACTGGAAATGGTGATCGTAATGGTAGTGGTATTTGTAATGACAATGGTAGTGGTAATGGTAATGGTAACAGTAGTTGTAATAGTAATGGTAATGGTAATGGCAATGGTCATGGCAATGGTAATGGTAATGGTAACGGTAATGGTAATGGTAATGGTAATGGTAATGGTACTGGTAATGGTCATGGTAATGGTAGTTGTAATGGTAATGGTAATGGTAATGGTAATTATAATGGTAATGGAAATGGTAGTTGTAATGGTAATCGTAATGGTAATGGTAATGATCATGGTAGTGGAATTGGTAGTGGTAATGGTAATGGTAATGGTAGCTGTAATGGTATGGAAATCGTAGTGGTAATGATAATGGTAATGGTAGTTGTATTGGTAATCATGATGGTAATCGTAATGGTAATAGTAATGGTAATGGTTGTGGTAATGGTAATGGTTGTGGTAATGGTGATGGTTGTGGTAATGGTAATGGTAATGGTAATGGTAGTTGTAATAGTAATGGTAATGATAATGGTAATGGTAATAATAATGATAGTGGTAATCGTAATCGTAGTGGTAATGGTAATGGTAATGGTAATGGTAATGGTAATGGTAATGGTAATGGTAATGGTAATGGTAGTAAAAGTAATGGTAATGATAATGGTAGATATAATGGTAATTGTAATGGTAATGATAATGGTAATCGTAATGGTAATGGTAATGGTAATGGTATAGGTAATGGTAATGGTAATGGTATTGGTATTGATAATGGTAATGGTAATGGTATAGGTAATGGTAATGGTAATGGTATTGGTATTGGTATTGGTAATCGTAATGGTAATGGTAATGGTAATGGTAGTTGTAATGGTAATGGTAATGGTATTGGTATTGGTAATTGTCAACGGGAGCGTTGTAAGGCCCCGTCCTCGCTTGGGCGGAGCCAACCTTGTGGTCGGATGTGCGGGGGTTGCAGCCGACCTGCAGCAGTGGGCACGGGGGCCACTGCAAGGGCGCCAAGCTGGAGGGCGCCTCGCTGGAGGGCGCCGAGCAGGAGGACGCCGCCCTGGACGCCTGGTTGGCGTCCCGGACGTCTGGACGGCGTCTTGGGAAGCTGGACGCCGAGCTGGGCGTCGTCACGACTACCCGGGCGCCTGGTCGACGTCGTGGGCGCCTGCACGGCCTTCTGGAAGGCCAGACGCCGACCTAGGCGTCTGCACGACGTCCTGGGGGTCCGGACGCCGACCAGGGCGTCCCAGGGGGCCCACACACCAACCTGGGCGTCTGGTTGGCGTCCTGGGAGGAGGGACGCCGACCTGGGGGTTCGGAAGGTGTCCTGGGCGCCTGGACGCTGGACTGGGGACGCCGGGCATGCGTGGCCGGCTACGGACTGTGCTGGTCGGCCAGGCGTGGTTGCCCGGTCGACCGGAATACCCGGGCGACGTGTGCGAGTGTCGCCAGGGTGGAGTATGCGAGGCTGACCTCGGGGGTGGTATCCCGAGGTCGACGTGGCTGGTGGGCGCAGTCGCTGGCGTGGAGTCCGCCAGGCGTCTGCGCTATGCTCGTGACAAGGTGTGGAGCGCCAACCAGCTGCGCGCACCTATGAAGCAGGTGCACCGTTGTCCTGCGGGTGCAACGCTGTGCAGCCGACTTGCTGCAGCGCTAGCACACCGTGGACTTGCAACGTTGGCGAACCGCTACTCTGCAACGCTGGAGCGGTGCGAGCGCTGCTGCGCTGGAGCGCGGTCGACCGTGCTGCACTGGAGGTCGACTAGCAGCCTAGCTAGTGTCAAACATTATGTATGTTGTGCTTGCTTAGGCTACAGTGGGTTAGCCTATAGGGGGTACACAATTCTAGGGTTAGGTACTTGTACTGATTTCACTGTTAGTTCAACCATTCCTGTTTGTTCATTTCAACATGGTATAGAGCAGGTCCTTCGCTAGGACCATTTTTTTAGGGCCCACCACTATCTACCTACCAACCTACCTACTTGCGCCCTAGGGCGCCTCGTTTTTCACGGCCACCTAAGGCCCCGCGACCCGTGACCCGCCCCTTAGCGACTCGCGCGCCGCCCCTTAAGGCCCCGTCGGCCCCCGCGCTCGCCCCTAGAGGCCCCGAACGGCCCCGCGCTCGTCCTTAGCGGCCCCTTACGGCCCCGCGCTCGCCCCTAGAGGCCCCGATCGGCCCCGCGCTCGCCCTTAGCGGCCCCTTACGGCCCCGCGCTCGCCCCTAGAGGCCCCGAACGGCCCCCCCAGAACGAGCCGCCCCACCCGAGCAGCCCGAACCGAGCCGCCCAGCCCGAACCGAGCCGCCCGAACCAAGCCGCCCAGCCCAAACCGAGCCGCGCCGCCCGAACCTAGCCGCGCCGCCCTTCCCGAGCCGCGCCGCCCTACCTGGACCGAGCCGCCCTACCTGAGTCGCACTGCCTACTGTTTTTGGGGTGCCCTTACTGCTATTACTCCTACTATTGCTATGGCTAGCCCTCCTGTGCTAGCTTTCGATGCTGAGGGCCGCCCAGTGAAGTTCGAAACCTGGCTAGATGACCTACACCTCTTCCTACAGCTCTCTGCCAAGGAGGACATCTCACTGTACGATCACGCCCTAGGCCATGCTCCTGCTCCTGCTGCTACTGCTGATAGCACTGCCCGCTCACAGTGGCAGACTCGTGACGCCCACGCTCGCTTCGCTATTCGCAACTCCCTGCCGATAGATGAGCGCGAGCACTTTGGGCAGCACAAGACTGCACAGGCACTGTACACTGCTGTCGTTGCCCGCTACTCCTCACCGGCCTCTGCCGCACTAGGCCGTCTCTCTCTTCCCTACCTGTTCCCCGACTTAGCCTCTTTCCACACAGTCGCTGACCTCATTACGCACCTCCGCACTAGTGAGGCTCGCTTCTGCGCCGCCATGCCTGATGAGTTCCTTGCCAAGAACCCACCCCCGCTCTGGCTCACTCTCTACCACCTAGTCACCCGCCTCCCTGACACTCTGCGCTCAGTCAGGGACCACTTCCTAGCTCGCTGCCCCACTGAGCTCACCATTGCCCTCCTCGAGAAGGAACTCCTTGCAGCTGAGGCTAGCATAGTCGCTGTAGGTGCCTCTCGTGGCGACCCCCGTACCCCGTTCTTTGAGGGGTGTTCTCCTTCCCCCCTTCTTCCCTCTGTCGCCTCTGCTGCTGCTGTCGACCTCCTTGGTGCTGAGAAGGTCGGGACTGCGTCTGCTTCGAGCGGGCGCCGCAGCGGCAAGGGCAAAGGGGGCAAGGGCGGTGGCGGTGACAGCGGGGGAGGCGGTGGTGGGGGCGGTGGCGGCGGTGGGGGTGGTGGCGCGACTGGAGGGGCTAGTGGCAGCGTTGGGGGTGGTGGCGGCAGCGGCGGGGGAGGTGGCAGGGGCGGAGGCGGTGGTGGGGGTGGCGGTGGACGCGGCGGCGGCAGGGGTTGGGGTGGTCGAGGAGGTGGCGGCGGCGGTGGTGGTCGTGGAGGCGCTGGCGGTGGCCAGGGCCAGCAGCACACTCCGTCGCCCCAGAAGGTCCGTGAGGGGGGGGGGGGGGGTGGCTTTAGCTGCACGTACGTCATTCGCACTGGTGACCGCACTGGTCAGCCGTGTGGGGGACCGCACGCCACACAGCGCTGCTTCGCTCGTCTCAACGACGCTTGGCGTGTTCAGTTCTCTCAGGCCACTGAGCTGCCCCGCTGGGTTGATCTCCTGAAGAAGGGGATTGATATTTATGCTCTAGACTTTGATGTTATTCTCACTGCCATGTATGTGATGTCTACTAGTGGAGAGGGTGCTGAGTACCTGTGTGTGCCGCCCGACCCGGGCATTAGGACTAGTGCGTCTGCCGCTCCAGGTACTCGTGTGTCTGCTACCCCAGGTGCTGGTGAGGCAGCTGCTCTAGGTGCTTGTGAGTCTGCCCCCCCTGGTACTGAGTCGACGGCAGCACTACACACCTTCACACTGGACTCAGGTGCTTCTCGCTGCTTCTTTCGTGACCGCACTGCCCTTGAGCCGCTTGCTCGGCCAGTTGCTGTCTCCCTCGCTGACCCCTCTGGGGGTCCGGTCATTGCGAACTCCTCCACTGTCCTTCCCTGTCCTGCGGTCCCGTCGGGCACACTGTCAGGTCTCCACCTCCCCTCGTTCTCTACGAACTTGGTGGCAGGTATTGCACTCCAGGACGGGGGTGTTCACCAGTTCACCCCTGCCTACGAGCGCGTGACACACTGCACGTGTGCTCGTACGGGCCGCCACTTGGCTACCTTCACTTGGCAGTCGGGGTCGGACCTGTACACACTGACCACTGAGTCCCCTCAGGTCGCTGCGTCTGCGTCCGCGTCAGGTCAGCTGTCTGCCCCCTGCTCGTATCGCTCTCTGGCGCACGAGACTGTCCTCTGGCACCACCGACTTGGCCACCCGTCTGTGCAGCGCCTTCGTGCCATGCACTCCCAGTACCTTGTCTCCGGTCTTCCCAGAATCCTCCCTCCCCTCCCACCCTCGCCTGCTCCTCCCTGTCTTCCCTGCGTCGAGAGGCGGCAGCGCGCCGCCCCTCACTCCTCCTCGTTTCCCCCCGACGACTGCTCCCTTGCAGACGCTCCACATGGACGTGTGGGGCCCAACCCGCGTCCGTGGTCAGGGTCAGGAGAGGTACTTCCTGATAGTTGTTGACGACTACTCGCGCTACACCATGGTCTTCCCCTTGCGCACCAAGGGTGAGGTCCCTGATGTCTTGATCCCTTGGATCCGCAGAGCCCGTCTCCAGCTCAGCGAGCGTTTCCACTCGGACTTTCCTGTCCTGCGCTTGCACTCTGACAGAGGTGGTGAGTTCTCCTCCGACCTCTTGGCAGCCTACTGTGCTGAGCACGGCATTGAGCAGTCGTTCACGCTTCCGGCCTCTCCACAACAGAATGGGATTGCAGAGCGCCGCATTGGCCTGGTCATGGAGGTCGCCCGTACCTCCTTGATCCATGCGGCTGCCCCCCACTTTCTGTGACCGTTTGCGGTCCGGTACGCTGCGCATCAGCTCAACCTCTGGCCCCGTGTCTCCTTGCCGGAGACCTCGCCCACACTGCTGTGGACGGGGGAGGTTGGCGATGCGTCGCGTTTCCGGGTCTGGGGATCTCGAGCTTTTGTCCGCGATACGTCTGCGGACAAGCTCTCCTCCCGTGCTGTTCCCTGCGTCTTCCTCGGCTTTGTCCCGGATGCGCTTGGTTGGCAGTTTTACCACGCCACCTCGCGCCGAGTCTTGCCCTCTCAGGACGTCACATTTGACGAGTCCGTCCCCTACTACCGCCTCTTCCCCTACCGCACTACCCCGCTCCCCCCCCCGCCTCTCTTCCTCGTGCCAGGTGCTGCTGTCGTATACCCTCTCCCCCCTCAGGGTGCCGCTCCCTCAGGTATGTCTCAGGTAGACCCGGTTGAGCCTGTTGAGGTAGCTGTCGACTCTCGTCCTGCTGTGGGTGCGGAGCCTGGGGGTGCAGAACCTGGGGGTGCTGAGCCTTGGGGTGCGGAGCCTGGGGGTGCTGAGCCTGGGAGTACTGAGCCTAGGGGTGCTAAGCCGCAGAGACCGGAGTCTGGGGGTTCTGAGTCTGGAGGTCCTGAGCCTGAGGGTCCTACACCTGGCAGGGCCCTCTCCTCGAAGCAGTACTGCATGAGTGGTACTTCCAGTACTGCAGCCTCAGGAGAGGTACCTCTGGAGCCAGGCGTACTACTGGGACTGGTGCTAGTGCTTCTCCTCCTAGCCGGGAGCTCCCCTCCCGTGAGCGGATCCGTGAGTGGTACGAGCGGCGCTGCACTCTTCGGAGTGGCGAGCCTGGTGTCGCGGACCCCGCTGCTGCTGGTGATGCTACTAGTGCTGGAGACTCTACTGGTTCTGCTGGTGCTGCGGACCCGGGCGTTGGAGCGACGGCTGGTGCTGCGGACCCGGGCGCTGGTGCTGCTACTGGTGCTGAAGACCCAGGCGTTGGAGCTGCCGCTGGTACTGACGACCCGGGCGTTGGAGCTGCTGCTGGTGCTGAGGACCGTGGAGCTGGTGCTGCTACTGGTGCTGTGGAGTCGGGCGTTGGAGTTGCTGCTGGTGCGGAGGTCCCTGGCCCTGGTGTCTCTGCTGGTTCTGGAGTCGCTGCACGGCAGCGGCCGTACTTCGTTTCGCTCCTTCAGCAGGTTCTTGGTCTCCCGCTTTCTCTCGGTCCTCCTCCTCCCTTAGAGTGTCCACAGCCTGTCCCGTCACAGTTACAATTACAGCCCGCCTCCCCACTGCCTGCTCCTTCTCCCTACACTGGTCCTACTGGAGGTCTTGCTGAGCGTCGTGAGCCTGCGTCTCGCCCTGCGTTGCCTGTCCGTACTGCTCACACTAGTGGTTGCGGTTCGCGTCAGCGTCCTCCTCCTGTCCCTGGCACGCACCGGATGTCTCTGCGTCCGTCCACTGCTCCTCTGCGTGCCCCTTTGCCTTCTCCTCCTGAGTCCTCTCTTCCTGCTCTTCCCGACCCGGAGTCGGGCTCTCTTCGTGTTGCCAGTCCTACTGTCACGCGTCTCCTTGCTACTGTCGTCACTGACCCTTCTTTTGAGTCCACTGCTGCGTCGGCCCTAGTTGCTGAGCTCGACGACTTTGCTGCTCGCTGTCGTCTAGACTACGCTGCTAGTCTTGTCGCTGAGTCTGAGTCTGTCTGTCCTCCGTCCGTCGGGGGTGAGTGTGCCCTTGGCACGGACGTCCTTGAGGACAGGCAGGAGGAGTTCCAGTGCTTGGCCGCTGCTTCACCTCATCTCGTGTCCGTACTGCTTACCCCTGAGGGAGACCCGGATGCACTTGACATCCCGACTCCGCGCTCTTACGCGGAGGCGATAGAGGGTCCCTACTCTTCTCAGTGGCAGGCAGCTATGGATGCAGAGATGGCTTCCTGGAAGTCCACAGGCACCTATGTTGACGCTGTCCCCCCTCCTGGGGCGAACATCGTCAGTGGCATGTGGATCTTCAGGGTGAAGCGGTCGCCGGGTTCTCCGCCTGTCTTCAAGGCGCGTTACGTGGCTCGTGGCTTCAGTCAGCGGCAGGAAGTTGACTACTTTCAGACCTTCTCTCCCACCCCGAAGATGACCACTCTTTGGGTACTGCTGCACGTTGCTGCTCACCGTGACTACGAGCTGCACTCTCTCGACTTCAGCACAGCTTTCTTGTAGGGCAGCCTGCACGAGGAGATCTGGCTGCGCCGCCCACCTGGCTTCACTGGGTCTTTCCCTCCTGGAACCCAGTGGAGTCTCCGGCGTCCAGTCTACGGTCTCCGCCAGGCGCCACGTGAGTGGCACGACACACTGAGAACTACGCTTGCGGCTCTTGGGTTTGCTCCTTCTACTGCCGACCCGTCGCTGTTTCTGCGCACCGACACTTCTCTGCCGTCCTTCTACATCCTCGTGTACGTCGACGACTTGGTCTTTGCCACAGCTGACACTGCTGGACTCGCCTACGTGAAGTCCGAGCTGCAGAAGAGACACACGTGCACAGACCTGGGTGAATTGCGCAGCTACCTTGGCTTGCAGATCACCCGGGACAGAGCACGCCGCACCATTACCCTGACTCAGTCACACATGGTGCAGCAGGTCCTTCAGCGCTTCGGCTTCACGTACTCCTCGCCTAAGGCCACTCCTCTGTCTACTCGCCACCCGCTCTCAGCTCTGCCTTCGGATGAGTCCGTAGAGTCGAGTGGCCCGTATCCAGAGCTTGTTGGCTGCCTCATGTACCTGATGACCTGCACACGACCTGACCTTGCATACCCTCTTAGCATCTTGGCACGCTATGTTGCTCCTGGGAGACACCGACCAGAGCACATGGCTGCAGCGAAGAGGGTGTTGCGCTACTTGTGCAGTACGTCGGCCATGGGGCTAGTGCTTGGAGGGCGGAGTCCAGTGGTCCTCACTGGTCACGCAGACGCTTCTTGGGCTGACGACCAGGCTACGCAGCGGTCGTCACAGGGTTACACCTTCAGCCTTGGTTCTGGCTCTGTCTCGTGGCGGGCTACTTGCTCGTCTTCTGTTCTCGGCTCCAGTTGTGAGGCTGAGATCTACGCAGGGGCCATGGCTGCTCAGGAGCTTCGCTGGCTCACCTACCTGCTGACCGACCTTGGAGAGCCGCCTCGTTCTCCTCCAGTCCTGTACGTAGACAACAAGGCCATGCTGGCCTTGTGTCGAGAGCAGAGACTGGAGCACATAACAAAGCACATTGCTCTCCGCTACTTCCTTGCTCGTGAGCTACAGCAGCGTGGTTAGTTGCGGCTTGCGTACGTGGCCTCTAAGGCCAACACTGCTGATGTCTTCACCAAGGCACTTGCGCCTTGTGATCATCAGCGCTTCTGCACCCAGCTGGGTCTTGTACCTGTCTTGCCTCACTTGCTCACCTCTTGACCTTACTTGTACTGTTACATATATATATACCTGCTCTTTCTTGTCTAGCCTTATATATATATGTACTCCTGCATGTGAACTGGCCTTGTGGCCTTGAACTTCTGCTCGGAATGTGTGGTGACTTTGTGATCCACCCTGAGCTTGCTTTGCTTTGCTTTACTTGACTGGTCTTGTGACCCCTAGTTCTCCCCCACTTTGCCTATGGGGGTGTGTCAAACATTTTATATGTTGTGCTTGTTTAGGCTACAGTGGGTTAGCCTATAGGGGGTACACAATTCTAGGGTTAGGTACTTGTACTGATTTCACTGCTAGTTCAACCATTCCTGTTTGTTCATTTCAACAGCTAGCACTAGTCTGTGATGCCAATGTTGTTGCTACCATTATTGTCATGTTTTCCTATGGAAACTCTTGCCAATTCTCCCCGTGAACTAGCAAGCAGCGTGAACACAAGGAAACGACTAAGTGAACGAACGCATAGATCACACGAGCACACGTGCCTAGCCCGTAGCCTAG